AGTCCTATAAATAACAGACTTCACTGTCCACTCAGCATTTAGGGCTGGCCAGCCTAATGTGCTGACCAAAGGCTGCCCAGGCTCCGAAAAACAAGCTGGGTCATGAGGACCTAAATTAGTGGAAAAGAGACAGTCATGAGTCCTGTTGGCTGCATCGATTGCTAGGGAATCATCTATCCATTCAGTCCAAAATATGGTTGTGCAAAAAAAAAAAATTAAAAAAACATGGTTGTGCTTGGCACTATCACTGGGTCAGGTGCAGAACAGGAAGTGAAGAGGAGGGTGAAAAATCCAAGAGCGGAGAGAGATTCCAAGTGGTCTCCACAATGAATACAAAGACTGGGCTTTAGAGTTAATGTTATGGAGTTTTCTGAAACCTATGATGAAGGTGACCTCAGCAGCCACACCCACAGTGAGGCTGGGGGTGCTGCAGAGAGAGTGGGAGCTGAGCATGTCAGCACACCCCAAAGACTCCGGGGCCATCAGGCAAGTCCCCACCTTGCTCTTTTTTTTTTTTTAACTGCAGCCAATCAGAGAATCCTGGCAGCATAAGCAGATAGGTCTCTGCCTATCTCTATATTCTCAAGTATTATCTTCGATCATACTTTATTATTCATAGAACACTTCCTTGGCAAGAGTGAGTATTTGGAACACAGCCAAAGAAGCAGGAAGTAAGGGGGGGGGGGAGTCCTCTGAATATCCAAGATAGACAGTATGGAGTTTACTTAAGATTGAAATACTTCACTTCTTCCAAAACTCCCTAGGCACTAAGCCAAAGCCTAGTGAAGGCAATCTATGGAGTTGCCCAGATCATGGGAGACCCAAAATGGCGGGCAAGGCAGCAACAACTGAAATATGAGAGCAGGAGACTGAAAAACTAGAAAGTAGACACAGAAATTCAGAAAGTTCTCCTCTTTGGCCATAATTTTAGGGCAAGGACAAACTCTTGATGCATCGGTAGACTCCAAGACGTAGCTGTTATTGCAGGATGAGTTCTTATTCACCATAATGCCTGACTCACTGATAAAAATTCAGTTGTGATCACTAACTCCATTTAAGTATGTGGGGACGCATTTTGGGAAGCTCTCATTCCCAAAAGATTAAAATTAAAAATAAAATGTCAGCTCATAAAGGGGAAGCTTCAGCTAAGCAGAGTTAATTAATTTGTTAATTAATCTGTTCCTCTTCTAGGTTTTAGGCTCCAGTCCTGACATTAAGAAGTTGTATAAAATCATAGTTATAAATATCGTTCTGAGTATTTTTAGTTAATGGAGTTTTGTTAGCAGGATTTATTTCTGCATTCCATTATCAGTGATTAATTTCTGCTTTGTATTTCTTATAAATGGTTTCTTTCAGAGGTTGGGATATTATTTTGGTTTCTTTTGTCTTTAGACATTAAAAGCATTTCCTTGATGTATACATAGGTTAGCACAATGAGATGAGATGTGTTGATTTATCTTGACTGACTAAACTGTACAGTATCCTTAGGGAGAAATGCTAATACTTAACAGTAATAGCTAAATTTGATAGATGCTCAGTTATATTAATTTCTTCATTTTCTGAACATGTACACATATAAAACAATGCTTAACTGTGATCTCAAGCTTGGAAAATATGCTAGGCAGGTAGGTGGCAAAATACCTTCCAAGCACGGACAGGTTGAGCTAGAATGTGAAGAAAATGGGGCACTCATTGCAAAATCTAAATTCCCTAAGGTTTTGTGGGTGATGCTTAAAGAATCTGCTCACAAAGCAAGAGCGATACCCACCGTGGGTCAATTTAGACCATTCTTCAGATTAGCTTTCAAATGTGAAGTGTGGAGTTTAATGTCCTATGCAGGCAACAATTTCTGCTGTTTTCCTGAAGGTGGACTCCTTGTATAATAAAAAGATTTCTGTATGATTAAAAACAACAACGGAATACCCAGGTTTGAATCCTCCTTTCGCTGTTCATTAGATCTACATGCCACCTGCAAATTACTAGAAATTAGTATTATGGATAAAAATGGAGAGGATGATGGTGACATAATATTAAAAATGATAATATTTCCTGCCCTTCCAACTTCATAAACTTTTCAGGAGGATCAGAAAGGATGATACAAATGAATACGCTTTGTGAATATTATGTACCATTAAGATGGTAATCTTATTATTACATGGGTTAAATCACTATAGATAGTGTTAATGTGGTTTGGCCGGTGATTATCTTCGGTTGAGTCTCTTCTGAATGGATTATTAGAATTTTATCTTCTCGAGGGACTAAGTTATACTTTTGTAAGCTTTGAGGACTGTTTTAACTCAGTTTTGTTGTCTGCTTATCTTTGGCTGGTTCTGGCCATGCCTGTGACGGGTCTTGAATTTTTATCAGTCCATAGTATCATGCTGCCTTCCCTGAAACATGCCAGAATTTTTTCCATATCTTTTTGTCTGGCTTTTAATTTTAAGCCAGTCATCAGGATGAGCACTGGGTCTTCTGGATGAGTTCACAATCTGAGCATGGTTCTGTACGGGAGATTAAATGACTGCCCTTGATATCAAGACTTGTTCTACCGCAGATAGAAAACAGGCAAGACAGGGGCGCCTGGCTGGCCCAGTTGGTTAAACATCTGATTCCCGATCTCAGCTCAGGTCTTGGTCTCAGGGTCGTGAGTTCAAGACCGCATTTGGCTCCCATGCTGGGTGTGGAGCTTACTTAAAAAGAAAAATCATCTGTAAAATAGAGATTATAATAACATGGGCTATTGAAACAATTTTTGTAAAGTTATAGCTAATATATGATAATCATTATGATGAATCTATCGTTGACAAAGGATGTGAACAGAGATAAATGGGAAGGAAAAGAGAGTGATGTGTCCATGGTGGAGCTCTTGTATGTCTTAGAATTGTAGCCCATCCTTCAGAAGCCTGTCTAATTAATCCGTAATAGAACTGCTCCGTTTGCTTGATGTTGCAACATCACATAGTTCTTTTAGCATTAATTGTACCACAGTATCAGAACTAGTAAGATTTAAGTTCTGTGACATTTTGTTTTCAAGATCTAAGCATAGTTACAGCATTTTTAAGGGAAAATTTTAAACTAGATTAGAGCCTGTTTTGTTGAGCAGAAGAACATCTGTAGAGGGCTACTCTCTTCACATCTGTGTCAATGGGAAGACCATTTTGGGGAGTCTGAAGAGCAGAGATCTGTTTGTAGAAGATTACGAGTGGTCTGAGTACTTCCTTCATAAATACTACCCAAACTGGCCTACTTTTCCTTTCTGGGAGTTCACGTCTAAGTGCTGATTTTTTTTTTTTTTTTTAAGATTTATTTATTTATTTGAGAGACAGAGAGAGAGAGAGAGAGAGAGCGCACACGCCTAAGCGTGGAGGGGAGGGGCAGAGGGAAAGGGAGAGGGAGAGAAAGTCCCAAGCCGACTCAGCACTGAGTGTGGAGCTGGATGTGAGGCTCCATCTCACCACCTCGAGGTCACAACCTTGAGATCAGGACCTGAGCCAAAACCAAGAGTCCCACGCTTAACCCACTTGCGCCACCTAGGCGCCCGGATTTTTTTTTTTTTTTGAAACAGTGCTTTCAAGCCCTTTCTGCCTTCAGACACCTCACTTCAGCTGTCATCCTGCTCAGGGTGCTTCCGTTCTGGTCAGTTTCCAGAACTGTGTGGTATCTAATGAGCCTGCCTAGCCTAGCTGATGGGCAATCATATGCCTGTGTCAGTGTGAATGTGGGTGTGGTGAGAGTAGAGCAGAGATTGTCATCTGCTCTTGGTGGCCTCCCCATCTCCATGGGGACAGGGAATGGGGGTAGGGACACTTTTTTTTCCCCCCTCAGTGGGGGAACATAGGTTGAAAAATTCAGGCCTGACAAGCTTGTTGGTGATGAGCTCCTCCAGAAGGCAAGACAGGGCTGAGCTGTGGAGGGGAAGTTTTACTAGTGTCTGGCAGGCCTGCAGGTGGATCTGAAGCTGGAGGCCACATGGATAACAATAGAAGGTCGGCCTGAGCATCACTGCCCACCTGTTCGGGGTCTCCTTGGCTCAATAACAGCTCCCAGGTAAACTGCTGATGTAAAATCTTTGGACCACACCAGCTCCCTTTTCCCTGGTTTTCTACCCATCAGCTCAGAGCCCCGCTTTCCTGAAAGCTTTCTTCATCAGCGGGCACACAGCAATTCCTGGGAAGAATCTTTAAGACTTTCATGATTCTCCAAACCCATTAATCAACCGAAACAGTTTTCCCAGGTGCCAGTGATACATTTGTCTCCGTCTGGGAACAGAGAGGAAGTGTCTCCCTTTTGAGAACCTGTGCACGAAAAAATGTACCAGAATGCACTCATAATAGAAACACCGTTTCTTACAGAGGTAAAATAATTCTCAATCCAAAGGGATGGGAGGAAATGATCAGAGGCTAGCAGTCCTCTGCATTTGCTGGTGTGACACAGATCAGAGTGTAGGAAACTCTGTCTTGCTCTGAGGAACGTGAAGAGAGGGAGTCTGGGTGGGGGGCTCCTTGGGCTTCCAGCCTCTGGCAGATTAACCCTCCGCAGCAAGGACTGCGAGGGAGAAACCTCGAAAGGAGAGCGCAGGGAATGCTAGCGGGCGCGGGGACAGGGAAGGGGGGAGCCGGGACTGCAGCGAGACCAAAACAGGGTGGGGCCCCGGGGGCTCCCTGGGGAAAGGCGCCCGCCCGGGTGGCCGGGGTGGAGGTGGCTTCGCGGGGCGGGGGAGGCAGGCCCGCGGGCTCGGGAGGAGGAAGGGGACGGGCGCCTCCCGCCCCCGGGGCTGCCTGCCAGCAGCCGCAGGGCGAGGCGACGGCGCCCGCTGGCGTCGCCTTCCCTCTCCCGGTCGGCCGGGGTTCAGGCCGGGCTGGGCGGGCCGGGCGGCGCTCGGGGCCGGGCTCCGCTTCCCCACTTTTCCTCCCTCCCTCCTCCTCCCGGGGCCGTCCCAGGCGGCCGAGCCAATGAGCGCCGAGAGGAGGGCAGCGGGAAGCGGAGCGCGCCCGGCCGCGGCCCTCCTACCGCGCCCGGGGCCGCAGCGCCACCGCCAAGTTTGCGCCCCGGGAGCTTGCGCGCGTCGCGGCCCCCCGGCCTGGTCGCTCCGTGCCCGCGAGGGAGGCGGCCGCGCGTGCTTGGGGCAGCCGTCCACGAGCACTCGGTCTGGAGGCCCGCGAGCGGGGTGGCGCGGGCTGGGGCCGGGGCAGCCGCCTCCCGAAGATGCAGGATGGCAGCAGAGCCGCCGTCCAGCCTCTCCTACCGCACCACGGGCTCCACCTGCCTGCACCCGCTCAGCGAGCTCCTGGGCATCCCGCTGGACCAGGTAACCGCGGGCGGCCTGGCTGGGGCGAGGGGCGCAGGGACCCTCCTCCCGAGCCCCTGCGGGAGTGCGGGCCGGGGGGCACATCTTAGCCACAACGCCCCCTCCCCCCCACCTCCCCAAAAGATTTTATAGCTACACGCACTCGACAGGTGGGCGTTTTTTCTAACTTGATGTTTTTGTTCTCTAAGTGTGGGGAAAAAAAAATTGGTATACCCTGCAAGACAGGTTCAAATGAACCTTTTTTTTTCCTTTTTTGAGGTTTTGGGTTGCCTCGTTTCCTGTAACCAAGTTCTAAAGTATTGTGATAAGTGAATCAAGTGTTTTTTCCACCAGTGTCGTCGAGTCTTTATTATTTTTAATTTAGATATCTCTACTTAATATTGTGCTCGCTTCGGCAGCACATACGCTGAAAAAATTGGAAAGATATCTCTACTTAAAAGATAAGGTTGATTAGTCTGTAGGCTGAAGCCTATAGCTTTGGAACAGAGACTTGGGTTTTCGACTTCGGCGGTGAAACTTGTCACATCAGGGGGTGGCAATGTTTTGTACCATGTGCTCTGTCCATCGGAAAGGGAGGAGTTGCACCAGGACCCTGTGGTTTGCCGAGGGGCTTTACTTGGTTCAGTGGTTTTATCCTTGAGGTCCCGGGCTCCTGAGTGAGTGTGGTTAGTGGGAGAAGAGAGGCACAGTGGAAGTTAGTTGGACTGTCCAGGAATTGTCTGCTACTATTAAAATAGAAAATGGCAGTAAAGAACAGTAATTCTTGGTAAGAAATCTGCTGGAGGGTTGAGGCTGTCTTACTCATTTTCCTGTCTCTTTAGGTGCTGGAAACTAGATCTGCTGTGTATTTCATAGTGAGTCAATAAATACATGTTGACTTAAATGGAATGGGGAGTGCCGGAGGGGGGCCCATTGCATTCTCATTTGGTTTCATACTGAGTTTTGCTCCAGGTTTCTTCCTTTGCTTTTTACTAGTGATTTTTTTTTTTCTTTTCTTTGTTCTTCTTTTCTTCCCCCCGCCCCCCCCCCCAAACGGGAGTATACCCGCTGCCCTCTCCACTCACATTCCTTCTGCAAGGAGGAAGTGAGAGCTGGCTCTTTGCCTTTTTCAGATACTGTTTACTGAGCCACTCCTACCTGGCTCCCTCCAAGGATCTGACCTCAACCGGGCCAGTTGCCTGCTCATCAGTTGCAAAATCCAGAAAGTTAACAAATTGGGAGAGGTATCAGATGCTAACTGGTGCTTCTGTCAATTACTCTTCAATTCCTAGTGAGGATGGGAGAGATCCAGGGACTTGGGTAAAGGCAGAGATACTAGCAAATTGTTTTGCTCTGAAACTACCTCAGCTCCCAGCTGAATTTCCTTAAGAGGAGTGTGTTTTGGACTTACCCCTTCAGCCCCAGCCCCACCCCCATCAGAATTTATTTTAATTGCATTTTCTGTTTTAAGTTATTTGGCATTGCTAGAGAGAGGAATCCAGAGAGGCTTTTTGTTTGGAAAGGGATAGTTAGGGGGCCCCCGACAAGTTACAACTGGAAGGTGCTTGTATGATGTTCTTAAGTGCTTTTTAACTGCATCCACCCCATACCCAGTCTCCTGGATTTCTGTTGAAGGACCCTTGTTTTTAGTTTATAAAAAAAAGAATACAAGAGCCTTAAGGATGTGGAAGGCTGGGAGAAAGGGATTTCTGGGATAAACTGAAGGAGAAATGTGGGTGATGGGCAAGGAAGGAGCCCTTGTGATCTCTTAGATCTTTCGATGGCCCCAGCACCCTCCAGCAGGCTCACGTTCTGAGTGACTCTTGGTGGGAGAGGCGTGTATAGGGCAATGCCCCAGCTTGCTCATTTAAGGCCAGGGGAAAATCCCAAACCATAAATAATGTGGTTTGAGGCTAAATTGTGGCTTGGGAATTTGGAAGCTTGATGTGTTTTTCTCCCTCACACTTTCAAAGCCTTTTTAAGGTCTTGGAGGTCAGACTGGATCTGCTCTGCCAGCAAACTTCTTTTGTGACCCGCCGGCTGGTAGTCAGCCTCGAAGAGCCCCAGTGTCCTCATGGGTAAAATCAGATCTACATTCTGGAGTTGAGAAATTTTGTGTAGATCTGAAATGCCCTACATCTGAAAGGTCCTTCATTCAGACAGGGTCCCAGCGGACAACAGAATTTAACTCAGTGGGTTGCAGTGAAGAAACTTTAATGAGCTACTTAGAGGCATGTGGGCAGCATTCAGGGGATGGTCAGGTACCAGAACCTGGATGCGGAAGGGGAGAGGTGAGGATGTCCTGTTGCCATCGCCCAGTGAGGGCTGAATCCGGTCCCTGCTGGGATGCAGGTGGGAAGCAGAAAGAGAACCTCAGCCCTTCTCTCCACCCTACAGCCCTTCTGTCTCTTGTCTGTTCCCCCTAGTGGTCAGACCCCGCCCATGGGTGGCTGGCCTGGGGTGCCCGGCCTGGGGTGCATCGGTGTGCAGGGGCTCCACCACCGGGACAGAATTTGGAAGAGAAAGGTAGAGCCAGACAAGGACAATACACAGTCCTTAATAAATGTTTGCTTCTGTCCCATTAAAGAGTGACTTCTTGGGACCCTGGGTGGCTCAGTTGGTTAAGCGACTGCCTTCGGCTCAGGTCATGATCCTGGAGTCCCGGGATTGAGTCCCGCATCGGGCTCCCTGCTCAGCAGGGAGTCTGCTTCTCCCTCTGACCCTCTTCCCTCTCGTGCTCTCTATCTCTCATTCTCTCTCTCTCAAATAAATAAAATCTTTAAAAAAAAAAAAGTGACTTGTTATTGGCCAGCAATTATGCTCAAAATGATAAAACACGCACTTCTGGTTACTCAAGTAGCTCTTCGTGTGTCTCTGGGAGACATTGAATCTTTTCCCCCCATCTTAACATTTCATGCTTATATTCGTAATTTCTGAATTGAAGGCGCTTCTGAGAAATGTCTTTGGCTTCTGGGTGTCTCCGGGTGGAGTAGCTCATTATTTGCAAAAACTGAAATGTCCACTGAGCATTCTACTACGTGAGTGAAGAACTCTTTATTTTTCATTTGCTCTTTTCGTTTGTTCTGTGAACTCCTGGGGGAAGCTTGTGTGGGATTGTTAGGAAAAGTCTATGGTTTTAATTTCCAAGGACTTCACCAGTCTGACATCCTCCTAAAGATGTTACATGTAAAATCATTTTCTTTAATTAGAAACAAGTAGAGCACACAATTCAGATGCAGAGGGTAGGAAATGAATGATGGCAGAGGAACCTCCACAGGTGCCCCACAGATGAGTTTCTTGAAAGCTGCATTTCTAAAACACCAGTCTCTGTCTAGCAAGTATGATGCCCCCCGGCAACTGGTAGGATTATTCAGATAGAAAGCTTCACTTACGCAGGATAAATTAGGTAAGAACTTTTTCTTTCCCATTTAGAGTGAATCAGGGAGCAAAGGATAAGTGTTTTGCCTTATTTCTTAAGTCCTCTATCTGCTCATGCCCTTTCGACTTGGTTGTGGAGTGTGTCACGATCTGCCTTTCACCTAACCGTAGCTTTCAAAGTTTGCAAGACTGATGTAGCCACCGTGATGGACGGATATTGTTGACATTATTAATTTGCATGGTGTGTGGTCATATCTTAGAAGTTGTGAAAGCTCAGGAAGAAATGGTTTGCTGGCTTTAAGGAATTTCCAATTGAAATAGGGAGGGGTGCAGAGCTCGGTGCCAAGGCTGTTTTTACCCACCGGTACCGCAGACTTTTTTGTTTTTGCATGAAGTATCAATTCATTGTTGAATTAGGATTCCTTGTTTGGGTTTCATCCCCCCACCCCCCAACCTAATCAGAAAAAGGGGTAAGGGAAAACAGCTCAGGACATAGGAACTCGGGAAATGATTTTGAGATTAAAGCAGCAAAGGTTTAGGGGCGCCTGGGTGGCTCAGTCAGTTAAGCGTCTGCCTTCTGCTCTGGCCATGATCCCAGGGTCCTGGGATGGAGTCCCTGCATCCGACTGCTTGCTCAGCAGGGAGTCTGCTTCTCCCTCTCCCTGCTGAGCAAGGAGCCCCCTGCTACTTTTACCCCTGCTCATGCTCTCTCTCTCTCTCCCCCCTCCTCTCTCAAATAAATAAATAAAATCTAAAAAAAAAAAAAAAAGCAGAAAAGGTTTAGGACAATTAATGTAAGCTTGTGTTACAGTTTAAAAGGCTGGGTGAATGAAGACCCGCTCTAAAGACCTGGCATTCTTGACTAATGGTGAGACCAGTAGTGAGTTTCCATTATTCCCCTGGGGCCTCTGACCACAAGGTTTCTTTCCTTGCCTGGAGCTTTTAGTCACTGGTTGATTCCCTTGCCCATTCTTGGAAAGCCCAACCTTCACGTCCCTTCTTACCTAAATCTTGCCCTTGGTTCAAAGCTCAGCTCACATTCCACACTCATTATTCGATCAATTAAATATTTATCTAATGCTCTTAGTGCCAGGTTCCCGGCCAGGTGGTAGAAATACAAGGATGAAAACAATCCAGGTCCCTGTCCCGGAAGAGCTTCTGTACAAGAAGAGGAGACAAAGGACCCATGTAAGTCACAGGTGCTGTGTGTTCCCCAGCTTGTGCAGGGGCTAATGGAGGTTTGTAGATGGCGCCCTGGTGGAACCGAGAAAAGAAAGCCCCGGGGAAAGCCATGGGACGTGTTGGATTCCTGTAGAATTTGCTATTTACCTTTGACATGCCTTACATTTGACGCTTAGTAAGCATTACTTCCTGTTGTGAGTTAGCTTGCTGTGTTTATATGCTGAATTTCCAACTAATTTAACATCTCCTCAATGTAGTGATTTTATCCCTTCTGTGTTCCAAGGAAATAGTAGGTACTCAATAAATATGTATCACTAGTAACAAGTGTGCCAATGATAATGATATGCATTATTAAACTTCAGCATATGGAAGCTTGTTTTTATTATTTATTTATTTTTAAAGATTTTATTTATTTATTTGACAGAGAGAGACACAGCGAGAGAGGGAACACAAACGGGGAG